GAGAGAGAGAGAGAGAGAGAGAGAGACAGAGAGAGAGAGAGAGAGAGAGACAGAGAGAGAGAGAGAGAGAGAGAGAGAGAGAGAGAGAGAGAGAGAGAGAGAGAGAGAGAGAGAGAGAGAGAGAGAGAGAGAGAGAGAGAGAGAGAGAGAGAGAGAGAGAGAGAAGAATGAATTGGTTTGGTCGGAGAGAGAATCTCACACACAAGATCAAAACAAGGTGCGGACAGTGATGCGCGAAAAGCACACACACACACACACACACACACACACACACACACACACACACACACACACACACACACACACACACACATACACACACACACACACACACATACACACACACACTGAAATGCGAGTGTTAACGCGAACGGGAGAAGAAAAGTCTGAGAGGGGCTTGGATGTGGTGGTTGGGGGAAGTGGGAGATGGGTGATGGGTGCATGCATCAGCCTTTGTCTGCTTGTATGGGAGCGTGCGCCCGTGGCTCCGTGTTGTTTGGCACAGCATGCAACCTGAAATGATCATACGATTTATACTTTAACAGGTAAACTCAAAAGGCAGCCAGATGGATTATAGAGCGGACCAGGCTGGATCGTCGGTCCAGCCGACGACTGGGACGCGTGTCCAGGTGCGCACGTCATCCGCGCGCCAAACGTGTAGCTCCGTCACGCCGTGATCGAGGAGATACTGGCGTAGGCGCCCGTAGTTGGTGCCGACCTGGGCCGTGCCATGAGCATCATCGCTGATGGTAAGGCGGGCGCCACGCTCCAGCATCATCTAAAAAGGGAAGCCACGAAAGACAAACAGCAACGGCAGAAAGAAAAGTCAGACATTGATCCGTGAGTGAGCGTGCTTTCACCATCCCAGCCAGAGTGATGGCACCCTCCAAACCTTGAGCAAATCGGCGTGGGGATAGGGGCCGGGGAGACCCTTGCGGAGGCCTGAGGTGTTAATCTCGAAGATGCAGTCATGCTCCAGGCCCGCGGTCAGGGCACGGAGTGCCGCATCTAGCACGGGTCCTGTCAGCGGAATCTCGCCTCGGAAAAGACGGAAGAGGTCAAAATGCCCGACAACCGTGGGCTGCAGTGCCTCGATCATGGTGCGCACGTGCTCAAAATAGCGCACGGCCAACGCCGTGGGTCCACCTGCTTGCTGTTCAGCACGCGCCATTTGTGCTGCATCAAAGTCGATAGCAATGCCATCGACGTGGTGAACACTCCCAACAATGTAGTCTAGATTGTGTTGCTGCCGCAGCTCACGCGCAGCTTTTAGGCTGCCTGGCTCGCAAAACTCGGTTTCCATGCCCACGGCAATAGACAAGCGTCCTGCATAGGCTTGCTGAAGCCGGCGGGCTTCTTGCACGTACGATTCAAACTGCTCTGCCAGTTCCTTGGGGCCTAGCCCAGCCTAATCAGGGGATGGCAGATGAGCATGATTGGTGAGGGTTGATCCTGAAAGAAAAGCAGAACCCAGACACTGCACTGGTGGCGTGCTGCTGAAGCCCAGTTGAAAGAATACCAATGGGTCACCCAACAACTAGAGGCTGCCATACCTCAATTTCCTCTGGATACAGAAAGGCTGGGTTTGCTCGAGGCATGTGCTCGCTCAGGCCATAGTGACTAAAGCCGCGCTGGCAAGAGGCGGCCGGTCTCGTGAGCATCAACAAGCGCTCGGCACGCCGAAGAAAGCAAAGACGGGCGCCAAGCTACCTCGTGAGCGGTGTGCACAATCTCCGCAAGCGAATCACGGGCATGGCTGCAAAATTGCCCACTATGGCTATGCACAGACCACAACCGTGCCGCCATCTTCAGCCGCGATTAAATCCGGCGCTGGTCTCTGCTCGATGGTCCGCCAACTCTGTGTGTGTGTGTGTGTGTGCGTGTGTGTGTGTGTGTGTGTGTGTGTGTGTGTGTGTGTGTGTGTGTGTGTGTGTGTGTGTGTGTGTGTGTGTGTGTGTGTGTGTGTGTGTGTGCGTGTGTGTGTGTGTGTGTGTGTGTGTGTGTGTGTGTGTGTGTGTGTGTGTGCGTGTGTGTGTGTGTGTTTCGGCAAATATATCTGTTTCGTAACTTGTCAAACTCTCTCTCTCTCTCTCTTCTCTAAATCTCTAAATCTCTCTCTCTCCCACTCGTGCAAGTGTAACCCTTGATGCACTTTCTCTTGGAAGCTGTGCCAGGTCCACGTTCTTCGCCAAGACTGGTCAAGATGGCAGCGGAACTCATCCTGGATGCCCTCGAAGATCTCGAGTAAGATGCTGAATGAGCCCGGCTCTGGTTTAGAGAGGACGCATGAGAGTGTATATGTGGTGGGCTTACTTGGTGGTGGAACCAAGCCCGCTTCTCATCATCACCCTTGCCTGCCATTTACGCTGCCGCAGCTTCGATGACGTTGCCGACGTCCAGACTTTGGATGACCTCGTGCAAAATGTCGGTGCATGAACCCTTTGAACCGAACCTCACCCCATGCGAATAATGCGACGCTCATGGAACCTTGATGCTATGCCCCACGATACATTCACCTCCACGTCGGCAGGGCTTGAAAAGCGAGCGCTTTCGTGAGCTTGTCCATACACTCTGCGATCAATTGGCCAGCGTCTGCGAACTTCAGAACCGCATGACCCCGGGAGCTGGTGCGTAGCGTTGCGTGGCCTCAATCATTAATCCCCTTCATGATTGCTTGTTTTTGTTCTGATCTGCCGACTCGTAGATCGCACCGCCGACACGTCAGAGCTGGTGATCGAAATGTGCTCCATCCTCAAAGAATATGGTATGCTTCTCCCCTCGACCCATATGAACTTTGAGATGAGGTTGCGCTCCCCGCCATTTTGACCCCCCTGGGCCTCTCCCAATTCAGGCTGCCCCTACGAAGCTCTGCGCTCTCAAGAAGCGTTCGAGTCGCCATCTTCGCGCACTTGGCTACTTGGTACGACCATGACTGTTCGGCAGCAGTGTTGGATGCGCATCTCGACGCAAGTGTCGACGCTGCGCCACACATGCCTCACCGGCTGGCATCTGAAAACCAACAGAATATCTCCTAACCGAGCTGCAGACAAGCCGAATGTTTGTGGCCAAGCATGGCGCGGCAACCATGGACACTGGCAACGATGAGGTTGGTCGCGATGGCAAATTCTCCCGCCCTTCGCGTTCCTTCATTCCATTGCCCTTGTGTGCGATACCATAGACTTTTTCTGGGCTTGGTGGTCCGGCCGACTGCCTGCGCACCATGCTGGAGACTTTGTCCCTGCCCTTGAACACGGGTGCTACCCGTGACCAAGTTTTTGATCGCGTGACCGACAGCGTACGAGGAGGCGTTGAGAGACCTGACATGGAAGCGTCTTCACCCCTTCCATGCACTCAGTTGCTCGGCTCGCCGGCACATTTGCGTGTGTAGGTCACGAATATTCTGCAGGAACTCGGCGATGAACACCTGGGCCAACGCTTGCTACAGGCGCCCCTCACACCCGCCCAATGGGTCAGCTCCGCTTGTGCCTTTTGCATCAATTGCTGCTTGCCTGATTGCACTGACCTACATCTTATTTTGCTGTGTGCCAGTCCAAGTTGACTGAGCTGAATCAGGTGCTTGCAAACGAATATGCTCTGCGGCGCCAAATGCTCCTCAAACGTGTTGATGTTACCGTACAGTCATTCAAGTGGTCGGACCGTGCCAAGGTCAGCATTGACCTTCGGGTTCATCATTGGCTGCTCGGCATTTGACGCCCGGAAACCCGAACTCACCTGCGCCAACGACCTCTTGCGCCAGGGCTTATTGGATCAAATCGAAGCGGTGGCCCAGCCACTGCGCTCTCGCATGCACGTGGCATCGTCCATTGACGTCCATGATGTTCTCTATGCTACTTCTTGTAGGCTACCCTGCTTGCCTGTGCGCTCTCACCGCAGTCATAGCCCAACCAAGTGTTAATTGCCTCTCGTATTCACGCCATGGGACACCCTGTAGGCTTGCTTCATAACCAAAAAACCAGCAGCCGTAAACCAGTTGGCGCCGTACACAGTACTTTGGGAGGCGTTCTCATTGGCCGAGTACCTGATCGCGGTGGCCGGCCCAACGAGGCCCGTCCCGTTCCGGAGATGCCTGCATTCCGAAAGGTTCGCATACTCATGCGGGGCGATCGCAGTCCTTGACTTTGTGGCCACGGGGAGGGGGAGAGCCCGGGCGAGCTTGGTGTTGGACATCGCCCCTCTTCTTACCCATTCACATTGGATGCTCACGATCAAACCGTTGTTTGGCCGGGTGAACAGCGCGTGGCGGATGACAGTCGACCGCAACGAGATCGCAGCGCCCGAAGAGATGGCGGTGGTGGCCACGGTCGCGGCGGTGGTCGCGGTCGTGGTGGCAAGCGTAGCAACCGCGTGCAGGGTGGTACGTCCCAGAAGTGATGACCACTGGCACACGCACTAGTGCCTCTTCAGCCGTGGGATTTGATGGCGTTTTCCCGTGTACTAGGCTGGAGCAATGATCGCAAAGTTACCATTGAGTGATGCTGAATGACACGATGTCATGCACTATGCCATGGCCCCATGCATGCGGCATTCAAGGACAAGAATTCAATTGATATCGAGATTGATCGAGATGACAGCACACGGGTCGCTGTGAACGAAAACAAGAGCTTGCACACCCAAACCATCAACAGCAAGCACGACCACAGCTCGCAGGGAGCATTTCGTGGGAGCAACCAACCAAAATTTCCGGCTCAGGCGCGCCGGTCCATGAAATTTGTGAGAGCGAGACGGCCAACGCAGGCAAAGTTACATGAGTTCCTGGACCGTCTCCTCGTTACCAGGGCAAGGATGGGTCAGTTTGTCGCCGTCCTCAGTCAAAGGGGAATGGCGGTAATGGGTTACGAGGTCATTGAGGGATGGGAATAGCCTGTCGTTGCCCACGACCATGTACTGGCCATCAGGGGATTGGTCAATCATAAAGTGCTTGATGCGCGCAGGCGTGCGCACGGACAATGAATAGCCAAAGCGTGTCTCCGCAACGCGAATGAGGAAGGTGCCCACGGGTTGTTTGCCCAAAAGGCTCTCCGAGTGAACACGAGAAACAACGCCGTGGAACCACTTGGCAAAGCCACCAACGCCTCCCTCATTGTTATCATCAGCCATACCATGGCCCTTGGTCTTTTCCTGCTCCTTGAACCACTTGACGGATTGGTTGCGCTTGAGACCACTCTTGGACGAAGCGGCAGCACGAGGCGTGTGGCTCTCGTACGACATGGGTGCTGCATCGGGCTTGGGAGTTGACCAGTCGCGCTTAGAGTCAGCCTCATTGAAAGAACTGACGGCATCCCGAATGCTGGTGCCGTGGCGCTCAATCGTCAGAATAAACTTGTCAACGGCATCAACAACGCGCTGCTTCTCAGCCATCAGTTTCTGAACCTCACGCCGACCCAAAAAGCCGCGAGTAACCTTTTGCAGCACTGCTGCAGCGCCAGCAATGGGCTTCACCAGGTCATTCAGCTCATCTGGGTGGTAGTAGCGTAGGAACACCTGCAGCCAAGCCACGCATGTTGAGACGGAGGGACATGACGTGAGAAGGGGGAAGCACAGAGACGGGCAGCAGCAGACCACAAACCTTGGTTTTACCAATCTGCCAATCCTTGAGCTTGGCCTTCTCCAAGAGCATACGGCAGGCACCCGCATTGGCCGACTGACCAATACCCCACGCAAATGTCAAAGGCATGTAGCGATGCAAAAAGTCCTCGAAGGTAGGACGCACGGCATAGCCTTCCTTGCGAATGCGTGTCGTCTCCAGCATACCTGCAGACCACCCACGCAAGCATATCCGAAACCACGTCAACAAGACAGGACCCAATGCACACATTACCCTTGAAGGAACCGGGCGGTGATTTGCGCAAGGAAGAGCTAAGAGCTCCAGTCGCTTGTCAAGACAAATCAAATTTAAAAAAAAAAAAAAGCAGCAGCAGCAGCAACGTACCCGTGTAACGAAGCTGGTTCTTGACGAGCTGGTCGGCATACATGTGCTTTTGCTTGCTCTGGTTGGGCTTGATGCAACGGATGAAGTGAGGTGCCGAGGAGTTGAGACTGGTCATGAGCTTCTCGAGTGACTCCTTGAAGGTAGCACCCACAGACTTGCGCTGCTTCTTGGCTTCAGCTGCGCGAGCCTTCTTGACGGACATGCGCATGTTATTGCGGCTGAGGCCACGGCCGCCACCACGCTTGCCACGCTTGCCCTTCGCAGCCTTGGCATCGTCGGCATCACCATCGAAGAGCTCGCGCACAAGGCTGTTCTCACTCATGCGCAAAGCACCGAGGACATCCATGGCCAGGGTGTCACGGTTCTTCTCAAGGAAGCCATCGGCGTTGTAGCAAACATCACCGGCGTAGTGACGAATGGTGAAAATGGCATCGTTGCTACGCGGCTTGATGTACGAGGAGTGGGAACCAAACGTCTCGTGAAACTTTTCGACCATGGTCTGGTCCGTGGAGCGGGGCATGATGGCCTGTTCGTCCATGATGGCGAGAATGCCGGGCGGGCGGCGGGAGAGGAGCATGTCCAGGGTGGCCTGGTTGTCGGTAAAGGAAACCTGAGAGCCGTCGATGCCCTCCTTCTTGTACTCGTCAAGCTCCATCTGGAAAATGTGCGAGTTGAAAAAGGACTGGAGCTGTTCGTTGGCCAGGTTGATGCAGAGCTGCTCAAGGCTATTGTCATCAAAGTGCTCAAAGCCGAAAATATCGAGGAAAGAAATGATCTGACCGGTACCGCGGCCCTTGGGTCCCGTCAGAGAGTTGACGCGCTTGATAATCCAGGTGAAGGCGCGGCCATACAAGGCCTTGGCGGTGGCATCGCGCACATCCACGGCCTGGTCCGTACGCAGAGCCTTGGTGGTCTCCTCGCCACCGGTGATGAGGATTTGCTCAACCAAAGCCGCCTCCATGACGCCCACTTCGAGACCGAGCTGGTTGCAGGCCGCCTCGAGGATAGAGCTCGGCGACACGATGCTCGCGTGATCTTCGCCATCAAACAGGACATCACCCAGCCAGAGGACACCGGAGAGGATGGCAAAGAGGTTGTCCTTCTCACCCTGAGAGAAACCGACGAGGTCGAAGCAGGCCGACACCTCCTGCCACATATCACGGCATTCCTTGGTACCAATGAAGGCCAGAGCCTCGGCATTGCCGTTGATATAGCCGTGATCCTCAGCGCTGCCCAGCTAGAACACACAAAGGATACCACGAGATAGAAGATGAGGGGTTGAGTGTGGCTACACTTTGAAGTCAAGGAACGTTGAGCTGGCTTTCAAGCGACGAGGCGACCGATGCCAACCTCGTACTGCGCCTTGGCAGATGCGTCCAGGCCAGCAAAGATGTAGTAGAAGATGTGAAAGTTTTGCTCGCCATCGGCTTGATAGGTGACACGCGACTTTTCCAGAAGGTATTCCGTGATCAGAGCTGGTGAAAGGGCAAAAGAAACAAAGTGAGGACGCGTCGGGTGCAGCAGCGGCTGACGTAAAGTCACGGCGCAAGTGACGCTAAAAACGGACCGCCCCTGACGGTGAAGTTCTCTGTGAACTGGAGATCAAGGTATTTGCCAAAGCGCGAGCTGTTGTCATTCATCAGAGTCGAGGCGTTGCCAAAAGCTTCCAGCAGCGGGTTCTGTACACCATCAACCGAGCAAATACAAGAGCCAAGCCGAATGAACAACAACAGATGGCAAAGCTGCAAACGCAGGGTAGCCGCTCAGGTACGGGCAGGGTGGCGCGACGTACGACAGCGATAATCTTGTCAGCAATGCCCTCGGTTTCAGAACCGGCGCTGAGATCGATGATGTGCTGCAGGAAGAGCTTGGCTGATTCGGTCTTGCCAGCACCTGATTCACCAGAGATGACGCAGACCTGACCAGCGAGCAGATGCCAAAAGCAAGTCAATGGATGAGCCGAGGCAGCCAAGTAGCTCTTGCGACTTGACGCGGTAGCGACGAAAGAGGACACACCTGGTTCTTGCCCGTTGATTGAAGGGCACTGACAGCAGCATCGGCCACGGCAAAGATATGCGGGGGCAGAGATTCACGGTCGATGCCGCCGCGGTACTTGAGCTTTTGGCTCTGGTCATAGAGCTCGGGGATGCGAAAGTAGGGGTTGACGGCCACCAAAATTTCACCTACAGCGTCATGTGAGAGGAACAAGAGATTGGCTGCTGACTGCGGGCGTAAAAACGGAGGGTACACTGGAGCAAGCAAGGTGTGACACGCACCAACGTAAGTGTAGATGACATCGCGGTTGTATCGAATTTCGAGCTCCTTCAGCAGGGTGTCCTCGTTCAGATCAGCAAGTGCAGCTGCAGGACAATAATAATGAGCGCCGACACAAATCACTTCCAAACGGACGACGTTGTGGGTGGAGCAGGAAGAAGGACAGGACTAGATGCACGACGAGTTGAAAAGTGCAGTCACATGAAGTTTTGAGCACTCGAGGTATGCGACGATCTTACTCAGGTTATCGCATTGGCCGGGCGCGACGGCGTGGCCGCCCAAAGCAGCGCGGCGAGCCATGGTGCTGTTGAGCTGGGGAAGAAGAAAAACGGAGAAGAGCGGTGGGGGGAGGGGGGACGCAGGGCAGTGGGTCGATCAGGGTAAATTAGATTGATCCTCGCATGCATTTGAGCTTGTGGGTGGGGTCGGGACGTCTGGGGTGGTTTAACTCACCGAGACGCTGAGATGTGGCCAAGTAACGACGACGGAGGGGTGCGCCAAACAAAAGAGAAGGCGGTACTACGCGGACAATGAGCCGAAACGGAACACGGGTGAGCAAGCAAGCCTCCAGGCCCCGGTCGAGAAGCATGATCTCCCGACACCCATAACGAGGGAAAGGGTCGAGGACACGCCACAGGCGGCGCAAGGAGACGGATGACAGAACCGCCCATCACCAATCTCTGCCAGCCCGCAACAACGGTGGGCGTAGAAACCCCTTCCCCAGGAAACCAAAAAAAAAAAAAGAACGAAGGGGCGGAACGAGAGACGGCAGCGGTTGCTGGCAGCGGCCTCATGGCCAACAGCCCCCTCTGCACGTCAGGTCGCGGCAGCACAGCGCAGCAAAGCGTCTTGTGCCAGATTGCCAAGGACAGACATCGGGCTTGAAGCACCAAAGCAGCAAGGGCGCTGCCCAGGCCCGATCCAGCCGCTGCCCGCGCAACAGTAACAGGACAAGTCCTTAGCCGCGCGAGCGAGCGAGCGAGCGAGCGACTGACGTGCTTTCTCCTCTCAAAACCCAAGACCGCCCTCCCTCCGCCCACCAACTCGACGCACACACACACACACACACACACACACACGCACACACAAACACACACAAACAGATCTGAAGCACAAAAACCACACCGCCCCTCACTGACCCGCCTCTGCACTCATGAGATCAGATTGAGCCAGCACGCCATAGAGAGGAGAAGGAGACAGGAGAGACGCTTGCAGGCTGACCCCCCGGCTGCCATTCATCCGCACAACCCAACACACACACACACACACACACACACACACACACACACACACACACAGAGCCACTGAGGTGTCCTTCTTATGCCCTGCCTGCGCTCGCGCGCTTCTTCTCTTTGTTTGACTTACCCTGGGAGTGAAGAAAAGGACAATGGAATCCCTCTCTCTCTCTCTCTCTCTCTCTCCCTCTTTCTCTTGTATCGCCGCTACCAGGTGTGACACTGGTTTGGAACCTCAGTGCTACCAAGCGTGAAGTACTAAGACTGGTGCTGGGATGAATTGTCAGCAAAATATCGCTGGCGTTCTTGTGGATATTTGTATAAGTGGAGAACCGGTTTTGTGAGCAATTGTATTCAAAGCTTAAGCAAGATACCTCGTTTGCCTCATCTCCTCTGAAGAGTCGAGCTGCGCATTTCTGTATCGCGCGGCCGTCAGGAAGAGGGGACAACAGGCAGCACCATGGATGCTCGTGGCGCAACGACTGGCACAGGGGCCACCCCCATCGTGCCCCGGGACAAGTCGCAAATGGTTTACGTCTGTGGTGGTACGTGTACAAAAATACAAAGGCGCTTTTCTCCATGACATTCAGACCATCTGGCTCGCAGACGCTCGCCTCACACACGTGTGCCCGTTGCGCCCGCTCTTGCCATGGCAGAATGCCGCAATCCCAACCAGATCAAGGCCGGAGGTGATATCAACTGCCGCAACTGCGGTCACCGCATCCTCTACAAGCTTCGCACCGAGCGCGGTCGGTCATTTGCTGGTTTTGGGTTTGTGTGTGTGTGGTGTTTTTCCGCGTATCTTTTGAGTTGTTGCAACCTGCTCACCTTCCACGTACCTCTGATCGCACCGGACCCATCTAGCCATCCACTTTGATGCACGATAAACGAAGCGCCAGTGCATTTCTGAATGACCAGTCCCAAACCAAGACGCGTCCTCCTTCCTCAAGGATTAGGAGGACCCATGAGGGACTGGCGATCCTTCCAGCGACGGCAGAAACACATTGGGCTTTCTGCCAAGTCTGTTGTGTTGCCCTCAGCAGGGATTTTTGCCTCTTTCATCCGCAGCGCGGAGGTTTTCCCCCAACCTTGAGACTTCAAGGAATTTAAAAAGCGAAAAACATGTTGGCATTGATATGTGACCAGTCAAATTAACCCACAGCGTGCAGCGCGTCCAGAGTTGGGCAGCCCGCGTCGTTACTGCTGAGAAGAAGCGCACGGATTGGTGCACACTCCCAACACACAAAACTAGGCTTGCACGCTTCATTCCACCCAATCACAAACGACCAAGCATTACAATATAAATTGACGGCTGGGAAAGACATTCTCCTTTGCGTCGTTCTCTACATGGACCCGAGAAAAATCGCCCGCCATCACCTAGTGCTTGTCACTTTTCTTGTCCTTCTTCTTTTTGCCCTTGCTGGCCGCCTCCTGCGCCTCGCGATCGATGGCATCTTGCAGATCCCGCAAAGCATTGTCCACGTTCTATCCGCCAATACCCGGAATATGAGACAGACGCGAATCTCGACACTGCGCAAGGCCGGGCATTGACCGGGATATCGGTGGCGCTCTGGGCAGAAGCAACGTACCGACTCCTCTTGATCAAGCATATCAAGTTCACGCTGCAACTTGTCCACAACCTCGCGCTGCTCCTCCAACGCCCTGTTACGTCGCTCCAATTCGGCCTCTTTGGCTGTTACCTAACATGTCAGACAGCAAAAGGATGAAGGTCTATCTCAAGCAAGCTCGAGGCCATCTATGAAGCGTGTCAAGAAGGGCATCAGCAGGGTCCCAGGCGTACCTCACTCTTGAGGCGATCCATCTTGCTTTGTTCCAACAACTTGAGCTCGGCCTCCATTTGCTTCTTGGCAGCAATGACGGCATCCGCAATCCTACCAGACGCAAGCATGAAAAGCCCATGAACTAAGCAGGGAACAGGCCACCAGCATCCAGTCGAGGTTGGCCACCACCGACCCACGCACGTGGAAGGTTGATTTTCGTCATCGCCCGCACTACCACCCAGACCGAGGGCGCCTAGCTTGTCGTGACGGTACTTCTCGTAGTGCACCATGTGGGTTTTGTGACGCAACGTCTCCATGCATGTTTGGAAGAGCAGGCGGCGCAGCTTCATAAAGTCTGAATGTTGCTCGTTCTCCACTACACGCGCAAGGATGGTCATCGATAAGCGGAACACTGCCAAACATCAAGCCATCGATCAGCAGCACAATGCACACGCAAAGCGCGCTCACGCACCTTCAACCACACCCCATGGATATTGGCGCACGCGTGATGAAATGCCGCCCACGGTCACCACGTCTTTGCTACCCACCACGCCCAGAGGCACCGCCTGTGTGCAGCCACAAGCGTCACTTAGCACAACGACTCATGCAGCCGCACTGCCTATAGCAAAAGACCGAAACTTCAATGGCACCGCCCTGCCCAACCCACCAGGGCGCTGCTCACCTGGCTTCCGATGTCAAAGTCAAAGGTACGAATGTTGTTGGCCTGGAATTCTTGACGCAGCTGCACGGCACGCCTCGAATGGGCCGCGTGAGTCAAGTGTACCATTGACATGATCAGTGGACATGTAGCCCATGGAAAGGCGCGTGCGGGTTGGAGCTTCGAGGTCGGAGTATGAAGCGTACCGTGTGCTTGAAATTTGCGAGCTCATCGGGGCTGAGGGTATCTGCCTTGGCAATGACCGGGATCACATTGACCTGGATTGTGAAGCGTAGCCACACCGTGAGATCAGGCCATTGGGCCAGTCACACACCCGAACGAGTCGGACGAGTGCCACGTCCAATTAGCCAGCCGACAAAAGCACGCGCACCTTCTCGTGCAAAGCACGGAGTACCTCCAAGTCCAAGGACTTGAGTGTGTGCCCCGTTGGAGCCAGCATAAAGAGGCAGGCATGAACGCGAGTATCCTCATGCTGAGCCAGGTCGCGCTGCGTCTTGATTTCCTCCTGATGCCATCCCACCCGCCATGAAATGGTCAAGATGAACAGGATGAAGAAGATGAGGGGCGCATATGGGCATGAGCAAAATAGAGACTATCACAAGGGAAAGAAAGCGATGCAATGGCGGGTGGCAAGGCTCAACCAGGTGGGAGAAGCAGGTATTTATTCAAACCTGGAAATGTGCTTCAAATTGCTTGTCGAGAAATTCCACAATGGGTTCGATGGTAGCGGCGCGGGAGATTTGATCGCCGTAGCCCACGGTGGTGGACAGACGCAACAAGATCTCAGTGCCACCCTCTTCCACCTTCGTCTCGGTCGTTTCCACACTCACGTTGGGCTCTTGGTGGTCGTGCGACGGCAGCTTGAATGCTTGGTCAAAGAGGGAGTCGAGCAAGCTGGCCTTGCCGATGGCCGTTTCACCTAACACACATCCCCGCCACCATTTGATGTGAGCCCGTGACGAGGAACAACAGCAGCCAAATTTAGATCAGAGCCAGAACATGATCAGTCGGATGGTTCCAATCAAGGGTGCGCAGCATTCTGGGCAAAGAAACAGAAGAGATGGAGAAACGAAAACGGAAACGAGCACAAAACGCACCAACGCAAAGCAGGTTGAAACGAAAGCCGAGCTGTTGCTGACGGTTGACATATTGATCCGCCAGCGTATCAAAGCCGACTCGCTCCGTAGGAGCCAAGTCGCGTTGCGACGGACCCTACGGGAAGAGGCAATGCAGGCAATTCACCATTGTCACCATTACACGCATATATTCCAGCGGGATTGCCGCACGAATGCTGCGGCGAGCAAAGCTCAGTGAGGCGAACATGGGCAATGACTCACCAAAACTCGACGTTGTGCCATGACTGCCGTGACGATGCACTGCCAGCAAGCGGACAGAGGGGAAGGACGGTTCCCCTGCAAACATGAGCACAAAATGCTGCGGCAGGGTTTCTTCCTCGCTTGCAACTGATTGAACCCTCCCGGCCATCGGAAGCGACACCCCCACTGCCAGCGGGCGCAAAAACCAACCGTTCACTTTGAGCAGTTGGGGAGCGAAAAAGTATCAGCCGAATCGCCGAAACCCTCAGTCACCGTCCAACACTTGATCGCAAGCCGGCCACTCAGGTCAAAGCCCACCAACTATCGCTGACAGGCAGACGTACACTCGACCGGAGCACCAGAAGCACACGCGCGCCCAAATGACGGCAAAAGCAAAGACGAGAAACAACAAGAATTTTTGAAATCAATCCCAAGCTCGAGCTCTTTCTTTCCTCAAACCGACCAAACCAATTAAATTTTCTCTCTCTCTCTCTCTCTTCATCTCTCAGTAGTTGTGCTATTCCTCTGTATATGCCTTTCTCTTTTTCTCGCTCTCTCTATCTCTCTTCTCAAACCAATTCATCTCTCTCTCTATCTCCTTCTCTCTCTCTCTCTCTTTTGTGCGCTACCAAAAGAGACGGCTCATTCATAATCAGATTCTTACAAGTAAAATACAAAATCGGATGCCAATTTTCAATCCGTCTTCGGTTTGGCTTCCAAACGGTCGGAAGGAGCTGTATGGTCTCGGTGATGCGTCCAGGACACGCCGGCAAGAATGAATACAAGAAGGACTTGCCACAGCTCTGTCGGCAACGCCACCGGCGCCAGCCTAAGTGCAAAAGACACAGTGTAAGACAGCATCGCTAAAAGGCCTAGAGAAGACATCAGGCGACCACCCGTACCCAGCTTCATAGTCCCGATACCAGCTCGAGTAAATGGGAATATGGGTGATGACAAGACAAAGATAGACCAAGACACGCCGTATTCCACTTGGGCGCAGCAGCGCCAGCAAGATCAACAGTGGCATGAGGGCCGGTAGCCATTGCGGTGTGAGGGCGCACCCGGCAACTGCCAGCCCGGGCTCCAAGAGCCCAGATACGCGGCGTGTGGTGGGCAAGAGATCCAAAATACCACTCAGAATGACAACAAAAGCCAACAAGACGGCGGCTTCAGCTACACGGCCCCACGGTGGAAGGCTGTCGCCGTCCGCCTCGACCACGACCTGGACACACAGGACTAAACCACCCGTGTACAGCACGAGGCGTACAAGGAGGGGCCAGGATCGCGGCCGCTGTCGCCAGGCCTGTATTGCGTCAGCGAGAGCAACGAAAAGAGCACACCCCAGCAGATGCCACCAGCCCATGCTCAGCGCCTGCCGCGTTTGCTGGAAGGAGAGAGCAGTTAGTCAAGAGCGCGGCCCCTATGATGAACAGCGCAGTGTGGAAGGCGTGAAGCATTGGCATACCCAGAGCACGGTGGCCAAAAAGTGATGCTGCACGGTGACGTCGACTTCGCGCAAACCTCGGCACTTGGCCGATACCATGATCAAGCTTTGGTCGAGCGCGCCCTACACGCAGTGAATGCAGGGAGTAGAACTATGAGGGAACCCCCCAACCAATTTAAGAGCCGCTGAGTCGCCTCGGCATGCTAGCTGAGCCAACGCTGTGCAACACAAACTTGCACGTACACAGACGATGCCATCTCGCTGACTCAAGTCACCCCCGCGTCCTGGATTTTCCAACCCCAACGATAGACCCAGTGAGATGCAGCAGCAAGAAGGGATGGGCTGGACACGATCAGCTCGGGCATGTCCAACCTGTGATTGGTGATACCCATTGGAGCTCGCAGCCCTCAAAGCTTCCCTCCGACTTGAGCTCAATCAGAGCACATTGTGAGGCCTGAGCAAATCAACATCCCAACAAATATGCGCTTGTGAACAAATACGATTCACTTGTTTGGGTGGTTGCATATGGCAGCCACCTCTTTGAGACTCGCCCGATGTTTGGTGAACCCTACACTACGTGCATTTCGCACCTGTAGCACAAAGGAGGCAATTGGCTTGCGACGCTGACTAATGGCCACATCGGTGAAGCGAAGACCCTCGTCGGCTAGGAGTGCCATGACCTCGGGAGGTTCCAATTTGTGGGCAAACGGCAACCTGCGTCGTAGTGTACCGTCAATGGCACCCGGACTGGGTGTGTCGGCGAGTGCGGAGGCCACGGCATTGGCCACTTTGGTCACAACCTCTCGGCACCAGAGCAAGCACAGATGATCAACGGAACGGCCAACGTCAGGCATGCTGGCTGTGGAAACGGCCAGAAACAACTCGCGTTGCTCGACGAGTTCTTCTCGAGGAAAAACCAGATCGTCTCGCACAAGCAGATCTCGAGGGCCACCGCCCACATTGAGCACCACGGTGCTACGTGTGTCATCCATAAGCCAGGCCTGCAGCTCGCGGTACAGCGGGGCCTGCTGGGGGCTTAAAGCAACAACGGGTCCTTCAAGCGCCGAGCCCAGGTTGACTTGGAGTGCAACCCAGCGGGCCAGGTCACGATCATGAGCCAAACAGTGGGCCACAACCACACCACCCGTGGAATGGGCCAGCACCAGCGCTACAATGTGCGAGCCATAAAAACGCGAGTAGGGTTGCAGGTGAGGCACCTCCAGCGAGTTGAGAAGCTGAGGCAGAGCGGAGAGAACGGCGCAAGGAAAAGGATCACGTTTTCCTCAGAAAAAAAATGGCGCATTCAGCTGGAACAGGGGGGAGACGCACCGCGTCGCGAACGAGGAAATTGTTGGCGCAGATATCGTAGGCTCTCACAAACAAAAGTCTACAGCAAGACGTTGTGGTGGAGGACCATAGGACTCAGCAAGGAGCACCATTCAAGAGGCCAGCAGGAGAGCAAGTGGCCGGGGCACTGGAAAGCAAAATACTGAGAGGAGGTCACATACACGTTGGCGGGTGAAGATGGCCGGGGAGAGCGCTGAGAGCTCTTCTTGAAAATCAGTCGCAAAGACGGCAAAGGCCAATTCGGTGTCATTCATGGCGCGAGCTTGCTTTTGCAGCTCGGTGCCAAAGGAGCGCACCTAGGGGCCAGAGCAGGACGGTGAGTAAGACTGATTTGAACACGTGGTGCAGCTGTTTGTCGGCGGAGTTGATGCACCCACACCTGGCGGTAATCGCCCGCATTGCCGGGCACGAACAACACGGGCACGACAGCTTCGGGCTTTTTAGTACGAACTAGGCGACGTTCGTGACCATCGGTGTATCGGGTCAGCTCGTAGCGCGGGTGAATGTCCTTGAGGGCATCTGGCGTGATCCGCGCATACCTGCAACACCAGGGCACGTGAATCCAAACAAGCACCAACGATCGGAACATGCCCACGGATCACGTACGAGGGATGCATGTAATACATGCTACACGTGTTGGGCCCGCCTGTGACATCCTCATCATACACACTCGCCACAAGACAGCCCAAATATATCGCCAGAACCAGGCCCAGGCCCAGCTCCACCTGCGCAGCCGCCATTGCCCGATGATTATGGCGTTCAAAGTAAAATACTTTTATCAAATTGAAGGTTGAGGGTCAGGACACTTTTGTCTTTTGTGTTTTTCTTTTTGATGATGATGATGAGTCTTCTTACTTATGCACTCTCTACATCTCTCTCTCTCTCTCTCTCTCTCTCTCTCTCTCTCTCTCTCTCTAAACCTCTCTCTCTCTCTCTCTCTCTCTAAACCTCTCCCCAAACCTCTCTAAATCTCTCTCGTCCCTCTCTAATCTCTCTCTCTTTCTATCTCTCTCTCTTTTCTCTCTCTCTTCTCTTCTCTCTCAATTCAATTCGCCTCCAGCTCCAGCGCCAGCTCCATTTGCACGGCGCTCCTTCGTGTGAGCGGCCTTCAGGCTCGGAGGTTTGCCCACAGATTGGCCATCAGATTCCCTTGAGGCCTCGCGTGGATGACAGAGGCAGCTTGACACTTGCTCAGGCTGGATCTGGACGAGATCCGTTTTGCACCGATCGGACACGCCAAGGCAGGTGCAGCTAAAGTGCGGCCCGGGCGCTGATGCCTGGCATTCGGCTTGGACCACGACAAGGAAACAACCTGTCCCACGCAGCAACGGCTTGGCTGCCTCGCATCGGCTGTTTGGTGAGCTGGGCCTTTGCCCAACCGCCGATGCGGTGTTGTGGCACAGCGCTGCCCTTTTGATCAGCCGGCATCATCGGCCGTCCAGCCCCGGTCTGCTGCACTTGCCACCACCAACGGCCTTCGGGTGAGCAAATGCGTGCCAAGCAGGCCCATCACCCTGATTCATTGTGATTAGATAACGCGGCTGCTTCAAGGGCGCTCTCGCCGCCCCCATACCCCCTTGGTGCAAGTCCTCTTATAGCTGAAGTGCTGGATATTGATTGGCCCAATAATCCTCCAGCCTCCTCAAAGTTGGCCTGGCTCGTGCCCTGGGTCCTTGCCATCAGTCGCGCTTGGCGTGGGCTAGTGGTTTGCCATGGTGGAACCCACACCCTTGCCCGATGACGTCGGGGATCCCCCAGTTGGGGAGGCCACAGCGCGCGGCAGCACCAGCAGCAATCCTTTGCGGCGCATTCGCCGGCGTAAAATGGCCAACTCGGAAGAAGACGGCAATGGCACGCCCAAAAACGCGGAAGACGCTATCGGAGCATCTCCCAACACCTTGGCGGCCCCTTCCACACTCCCAACGCGCGGATCCAAGCTCTTACAACGCGTCCTCCCCAAGCGAAATACCCAGTCCTCGACGCCCCCTTCCCAATCTATCCAGCCTATACAACCCGTTCAACCCGTTCAACCCGCAATTCTTGTGGATGATGGCAGCAGCCAAACCGGCGACAATTCAGACACGCATAGCGCCAGCTACTCCCCCTCCGCTGCATCCGCCTCCCATCCTGCTTCTAGCCTAGGGGCCTCGGCCCAAGCCGCCTACACCAGTCCACAAGACACAAACCCCGCCTCCAGCATCAGTGTCAGCCCGGGAAGCCTTCCTGGTGGTGCCATTGCCCCTGCTACTGGATCTGGCGTCCAAGAGCACCCAACCACTACCGTTGACGAAGAGAGCGACAGCATCGATAGTGATGACAGCGCCGAATCCTCGGGCCGCCATCGCAAGTACGGTCTCAAACGCGACGATCTCGAGTACGTAATCCACCATTATTGGTTCGCGACTCTCTATTGCTGTGACAATCTCACCTACCTTTGCCCTCACCCTTGGAAGACAAAAAAAAAAATCTAACTCCTCTTTCTGTCGCTTTACCCCTTAGCATGGAGCTGCGTGACAACGAAAAGCGCCGCCAGCAAGCAGAGGATCGGTTCAAGCGAGCTGTTGAGCAGCTCACGAGCAGTGGTCGGCCCGAACCCAGCTCACACAGCATACAACGTTTCAACATCTCACGGTACATTTGCACCTTAAATAAGGATCGAGCCTTGAGCCACCCCGAGAGACTGACTCCCGGCTCTGAGACAGCTCATTTGATTTGGTGACCTTGTTTTTGGCTAGCGATCCCATGATGCGTGAGTACCAGCACGCGCGCCATCAGCTTGAAAAGCGCACTAAAAAGCTGGAAAAACTGCGCAAAGGTGCGTGAACAGAGGGGTCAAGCCAAAAGCACATGTCCTCAAGCAGAGCAGCGCTCAAAGCGTGCTCCCCTCTTGGCTGCCTTTGTGTCTTGTGTGATCTTGCGACTGTTCGGTATTTGCACGATAGAAATGGACGAGGTACAAAAGCAGCTGGATTCACGACGAACGAAACCCACAGCCACAGAGCTTATTGGTGCAAAGATGAACATTGTCAAGCGGTCAGTTCTCGCCGCAACGTCAGGCCCAGTGTCCCCTCCCATTGCCATTTTCGCAGCTCATCCGTGGTTGTCTCGATGTGCTTCGACTGGGGCTTGCACAGCCTGCGCGCCGCGGGTCGCGGCGATGATGTCGGCTCGGTCAGTTTTATTCTCATGGCGGTTTGCTTTTTCGTTCCTAGCGCGACCTCTGATGAACATTTGCAGCTCCGCTCGTCTTTTCTTACCCTTTTTGTTCCTTTTGTGCCCGCCCACAGGAGGCCGGTGGAGACAATACGACCCCGGTCAACCCGGAGCGGGGGCGCTCGCGAACCAAGCGAGAGGAGAAAATAACCGGGCGGCACAGATCGGCCTCCCCGGAGCGGGAAAATGCCACTGAGGGGAAGGATGAATCGATTGAGGCCCTCAACGGCTATACAGGCTCGCCGGGCCGCGGCACCGCGCAAGTGGACGACTTCCCACCCGACGTATGTCAACTTTGCACCTACGTTTTTACCAATGCATTTTGAACCAGCCAACACTAGCTTGGCCTCGCATACTTGTTCATTTGCCGATTGTCTCGCGTGTGTTCCTGCTTGTCGGGCGGATTCGATGCCAGGAGGGCACCCCACGGTTCTTGCGCAGTCGGTTCGTGTGCTAGCTCTGTCTAAACCTCGGCGCGCAATTTCACGAGTGCCGTGTCCCGTCCATGTCAGCATCTCATCTTTTTTCAACCTGTCCTGGCCACACTTGGCATGTGTTGTTGTTGCGATAGGCGCTCTCAAAAGAGCTTACCGCCAGAGCTACGCGACCAGATCGAAGATCGCCGTCCAAATCGCCTCAAGCGCCTGATCAACATGTCCAATCCCCTCACTGTACGAGCTCAGTTCACTGCATTGACCTGAGTTTCATCCTGCGAACGGCACCGCAACAGCTGTCGTGTGCAGCACATGGAATCGAATCCTCCTTTTGGTTTTGTGTTTTGCTTTGTTTTTTATTTGCGAAACTGAATGTCACCTATATTGATGGCTCATGGTGCGTGCGCCTCATGATATCCTCCACCTTAGCCTCGGAAGAACAAGGACAAGCAGTCATCGGGTGCAGATGTCGAGCCGGAAGCTGGTCAATCTTTTGGCTCCTCTCCCATGGCATCTGTGTCGCAACCCGTGGCCCTCGATATGCAAAACGGCTTGCAGCACACCGCCACCGCCGGTATGTAAAATGCAAAACTAAAGCTTCCTGCCTATGCCGTTGAGTTTGCGACTGTTGTGCGACTGTCGCTGTGTGTCTGCCGCCTCATCCGCTCACCGCTTCATCCACTCCACAACCGCTTCTGCACCATTTTAGAACTCATCCAACACATCAAAAGCATACTGCTGGAGGACCCGCGCTTGGATTTGGAGAACAAGTTTGATGTCTTGCAACAGCTCCAGAGCTACGTACGTGCGCGGGATTGTGTTCCTTATTAGCAGTTTCGTTGCGTTGAGCTCCACTTCTTCTTCTGTTTTTCTTTCCTCACTTGATGTCCTTCTCGTTTTTCGTTTGTTTGCTTGCATTTGCCTTTTGATGCTGACAGGTCTTCACCTTGGAGGAGAGACTAGCGGCTCAACAACAGCGCAACTTGGAGCTTGAAACAGCGCTCAGCAACACGCAGGAACAGCTGCAAAAACGGCAGTCCACCTTAGCCATGCTAGACAAGCAGCGCACCAACAATCAAAGCGCGTTGCTGGAGGTGCGTTCCACATGAAGCCTGTAGGACGACCCCCACGTTGGTGCGGTGGCACCTGCTCATCGGCGGGGAATGGTGGGACAGATGATCAACGACTTTCACGCCGATTTCGTGGAAAAGCTGGACCGGCATGAAAGACGATTTGGCGAAGCGCGAACGACTGTGAGTTTTTCATGCCAAGGCCATGCCTGAGGTAGCCACGTGCTGACTGCACCGCATGTCCAAGTTGTCGTTATCTCACCATGCCGATCAATACTTGGGGACGCAACGTAGTTGGATACAATTCACTCGGACGTGGAGCGCCAAATGGTTACCATGCGTGACATCCAGACGCGTGCCAATGACTTTTTACAAGAGCTACAGATGAAGGCCGAGCACTTGGAGACTGAGCTATCAACTGGTTTCTGGGTCAATTTGCATGAGGTTTGAGCAGTGTCGCTCGTCTGATACCCCACTTCATTTTTTTTTCTTGAATTTTTGTGAGGAGGAGGGAGGTGGAGCATTTGCTTTTCGTCGGTGAATGCAGTTGCTGACTTACTTGCGTCGGTTGACCGCGTGTGCGTCCGTGTAGAACTTTTCGGAGACGTTTCAATCATTGACAGGCCGTCAAGGCAGCGCGCCGCGCATTCTCATATTTGGTACGAATGCCGCCTGAGCACCTCGTCGCCGATATTCGGTTGTGGCGGGACCTGAGCATGAACATGTATGTTTCGCACTCATGCCTCGAACGTCCGATCATGGCGCGTGATGGCAGGCATGGTGATGGTAGTGGTCTTGGCCTATTTTCTGCGCTGGTATTGGGATGTGACGCATGCCTAAAGCCAAGGATAGACGGCTCGCCTTTTTTTTTTTGTTCCCAGTGTTCTGAGAAGAGGCTTTCTCGCGACCTGCAATCACTTCTTTCTTGTTTTTTTTCTTACAGCCGAAGCCGCTTTTGAGTTGAGTGGGGCTCTAAACATTTTTGACGACAGGTGGCCGGTTGTGCTGTTGCCCCCTGACTTTAGAGGCAAGCGCCTGCAGTCAGCGCTGTCGCGGCCATGACTGAGAGGCAATTGTGATAGTATAGTAGTTGTTTGGATTGGCACGAGATGCTAGAAATGCAAACACAGTGACGACAAGAGCGGAACACAAAGACCCCAGACGATGAAAAGAACAGGGCAGGAGGCATGCCTAATGACAAAAATAGAAAAACAACAGAGGACGGAGAAAGGAAAACAAGGATGACGAGCAACAAAAAGTCTCCTGCTCTTTTTGTGCCGTCCGCCAAGCCAACACCCCGGCTATCACCCTTTGGGTGGCAAGCGCGCGCCGAGTGCTGGGCAAGCTGGGCGTGAGGCGAACGGAAGAAAGGGGCGATCCTCCTGAAGGCGCAAAAACAAACACAAAAGTCTGACGGAGCCGTCTCAGAGCGTGGTGGTCTGTTAGAGGAGCGTCCGCGTGCTAAGAGGGTTGAGTAGAGTTGGAGCGCAATATGCACTAGCAAACGACCGTCTTGTTGTCGTCCTTAATCAAACACGCCTCTGACGCCTTGAACTCGGGGCCAACCAACGGATGCATCTGTGCCATGAAGGCGCACAACCAAAAGATCCACATGCAGAGGCAAGTGGTGATGATCATGGTGCGCACCAGGCTAAGGAAGAAGCGGCAGAGCAGTTCAGGTGCAGTGAGTGCTGCTAAAAAAACCTGTGGCTTGCGCGCTGCCAGGTGCTGGCTCGCACGCCGACTCGCCAGCCACCACCGAACGGTTGTGCAGGCCACGCCAAGGCCCCGGCTACTCACTTGCGGTCCTCGTGCTTACGACCAGCAAAGAGGGTACCGAGAATGGCAATACCACCGAAAAAGGCGGTCATGACGATAATGGGCACAGCATTGGAGACGGCCATGGTGCTGGAGACTCTGAAGCTGCCAAAGTCAAAGGTGCGCCACAAATGATGAGTTGCTCTGGAGCGTCAGGAGAGGGCAAGAGGAAGAGAAAGAGAAAGAGAGAGAGGGAGAGAGAAAAGGAGAACAAGCACAAGAACAAGAAGATAAATGCCACCCAGCAGCTTGAATTCAATGTGCAATGCATGCGCAGACGTGTCCCCAGCGCGCTGCCGTTTCACCAACCTGAGTGACCAAGAGAGAAGTGAACAAGAGAAAGAGAGAACTGCTGTTGCTGTCGAAAAGCTCTCTCTCACACACACAAACTCTCTCTCTCTCTCTGTCTCTCTCCTCCAACACACACACGTTTCAGGAGGAGGTCAAAGTGAGACCAGAGTCACACATTAACATGGGGGAGGTGAGTGTGCACACACCACCAACAACCCGAGGCTTAAACCCGGGTAAAGTTGTCGCATTAATTTTTTTCATTCTCTTTCTTTTGCGTTGGCATTCACCCCCTTCCCGCTTGCTCCGAGAGGGGCAGAGCAGCAACAGCAGCAGCAACAGCAGCAACAGCAGCATCGGCGGCGGCGGCGGTATCATCGGTATTGAGCCCGATTTTTTGACTTGGCTGCGGCTGAGTCTGGGGTTGCCTTCGCCATGAGCGCCGGGAGCCTTTTGCAACAAGGTTGGGCTTTTGATCGATGACTCAAATGAGGACGCGTGTTGCATTCGACTCACCCCTCGTCCTCCTTTGGGCCCTCAGGTTGGCGCAAGCGCGGTGTGCTATGGAAAAAGGCCCAGGGTACAAGCCTGCTGGGCCGCGACAATTTCAAGCGCCGCACTTTTATCCTGACGGACACATGCCTGAGCTACTACTCTGGTGTTGACATTGTACGCCGAGTCGAGTTCCGCCCCCAAGCCTCATCCAGCCAGCTCGGCTTGTGCACGTCCCAAACAAGGATCGTGCCTCAAGCGCATGCGCTCGCCCCTCGACATCTGTACTCACCCCCTGTCTCGGCTTGAACCCCACCCGTGCTCAGAGCGAGATGAAGCAAAAAGGCCAGATTCCGCTCACCAAAATCCGAGCGGTTGAAGTCGCTCACGCAACCCCATGGGGCCGCAGCAACATGATCCAGGTTTGGGCGTCGCAGATGAGGATCGACTGATCGGCCCCTGGACATCCAATCTTGCCCTTGGTACGATGTTTTCCATTGCTAATGAACACACCATAACTTGGTCCCCTGACACATGCAGGTGGTGCACGACGATGCGATACTGTACGTCGATGCCGAATCTCAGGCCGAGCGGCAGGATTGGATTGATGAGATTCGGTCGGCTTGCCAGGAAGGCCAAAACGTCTCCAGCAAGCATTACAACTATCATCCTGGTGTTTTTCACAAAGGTGCTGCCTTGTGATCATCGTGCCACCCTCACATCACTCGCCCGCCCCCTTCTCGCCTGAAGATCGTGCTTCTGACCCAATGCTCTCGTGGTGGCCATCGGTGGTAGGCGAATGGACCTGTTGTGCCACCAAAGAACAAGGAGGAGGCTGCAAGGTATGTTTTGACTCAGGTCAAACAACTATTTCTCTACTACCCCCACCCGCCCCTGCGTGCGCCCTCACATTTTACATTGGCACTCGGGCCGTCCATCGCCTGCTAGCCGGCCTTCAAGTACAGTCATAAAAGCAAGGCCCCAATCAACTTGTCTGATGCCAAAGGTTTGTAAAAGCAAAGTCACGGGGGCCTTGCGAGCCCTGACATGTTGCTGCAGCGTCAGTCCTCCGCACGCCCAACCCACATGACGTGCGCTCATATCTTTGACGACTGGCGAATCCTTTTATAGACCGAACCACAGTCGCCTATTTCTATGACCGACACTACGAGGATGACGACCTGGACCCAGATGAGATGAGTCAGTCTTCCTGGCTGCTTGATTCGTGTCTGGATTGGCAAGGACTTGTCGTTCTGCATCAGCGCCTCGTGGCCCGACCCTTGCGCTTCAATGGAAGCTGGTATGAGACCTGATCCCTGCTTTCTACCGTCGTCGTCGTCGTGCCTGACCTGGACACAGGTGATGCCATGCTAGCGGACATGCCCACCTCCCACAGCGGTGCCGCCCCATACGGTGGCACAGCTGTACCACGCGCGCAAAGTATTGCAGGGCAGTACGGTATGTATGCGACAAACCTGCTGTGGTTTCAACTGAGTCCATTTGTGCTCGTCGACCCAGCCTCATCCTATCACCCCTCACTTGTGCCTTTGTCTGTTTGAACTAGAAATTATGAATCAAGATTTTCAAGATCTTGACGTAGCCATGTTCCAACCAAAGGCGGTGAGCTCATTTTATATGCCACAAATAACTGGGGCATCTTCTCTGATGCTCATCATACTTGCTCACCGCTATCCCTTGCTGCTCCGCATGCTTAGGCTGATGGCAGCACCGCCAAGTGCGTGGCTTGACCTCGTTTATTTGCCTGACTCACCCTCATCCCGCAAAACTCCTTCGCTCTCTTCTGCTTGCTCATACCGATTGCTTGGAACTGTCGCAGGCCGCTCTTAGAGTCCCACTACACAAGCGTGCCCAATGCTGATGGTTCGTGAAATGCCTTGGATCCCTGCGTATAGCCCCACCGTGCCTCACGGCGCCTGCTCTCGCCCGTGCCATGCAGACGATCCAAGCTATGCCGCCCTAGGGGCACGTAGCATAGCATCTTCCGAAGAAGTGAGTGGCCGTGTGGGTGATACTGCATCTCATCCTATCGCAAATGCACCCGGCCCTTTGATTCATGGTCCGGCGCTGGCTGGCTGGAAATAGTACGAGGGATGGCATGTTCGGGCCCGCGAAGCCTCAACCTATCACCCAGCCTCCATCGCCAGCAACTACAGTCAAGCCAGCATTTACTCCACGTATGTTGCGCCTCTGTTGCCACTCTAATGACTTGAGCGGCTTTACACTCCCCTCACTTTGTGCCACCATACGCAGGCTTGATGGCGTGAATAAACAGTACTCCAAGGTGACTAAACCAGGCCATGAAAGCCACTACGCCCGCCTTGAGCGAGTAAGTCGGTGTCGCCCAATCACACCGAGCTGCGCCATATCTGCAAAAATTTGTCTGACGTGTGTTTGTGCTTTTTCACAGAAATAGGAGTGCTTCGCCGTGTTAACATAACCTGACGCGTGCATTCCACTGCTGCTGGTTAGCCGTGTCTGCGCTGATTCGACAAAAAGCGTCAGCCCATCTGTTCATGTGTTTGTTTTTGTCTGTTCAGTGGATTTTTCTTCGAGTTTTGCTTCTTTTTTTTTGTCACTCTTTCCAAGTTGATCGACATTTGAAGCTCCCAAGGTGGCTTGGCCAACAGTGTTGGCTGCGTAAATTCACTTGCCTGGTCACAATACTTAAATCTAATTCAGGGCTGGCTGTTGAGTCTACTGGTACTGTGCATACCCCGCGTCATATCATGGCAGAGAATCAAAGTTGAAAGGGGAAAATTCAATCAAAGCTGCCATCTCTCGCAGCCCGCTAGGCAGCAAGAGACCGCTAAGGAAATGTCATGGGTGAGCCGACGGATGGTTTCCAGGTAACTTGAACACTTGACGCCTTGCTGTGAGGTGCAAACGCAACAAAGCAGATTTTGCGTACCTCTCAAGCCCTGTGTGCATGCTGCCCATGAGAACACGGTTCTTGATGGAGGTGAAGCCAAGATCCAGCGGCTTCATGAGCGCAGGATACTTTGAAGCAGCCATGACGCTCGATTCCGAGCAACCGGTGAAGCTTGCTCAAGTGTTAGTCCCCGCAAGCAACAGCCAGCGGAGACGCGTCCCAACCCCAGACCACCTACGCCCCAGCACGACTCGCAACCGCGTCGAAGGAGAGGGAGAGAGAAAGAGAAGGGCACCAACCCCGCCTTTCAAGCACAGTAAAGTGAACACGAGCGGCGGCGGAGCGAGAGCTCGCGAATAAAAAAACAAGAAAAGTCATGTCATGTATTTCGATACTTTGTGCGCGTTTTAATCTAGTTTTTGTTGAGAGTGTACGTATCTAAAGGCAAGGTAAGCTTAATATAACTACAGTTTGTGTATACATTAAAGCAGTTAATGCTGCTGCGCGAAAGTATGCTTAACGTGCTGGCACGCGCGCAAACTCAACTGCCAAGAGGCAGCAATCGTCCAGCAGGTTCATGCTTCGGAGGGTGGGGCAGGGGCTTGGCTGGTGCTGATACGTCGAGGCTGGCCCATGGTCACCCATGGACAGATCAGCCATTTGAACAACCCTATCAGCACTCCCTTTCACGTTTCAGTAGATCAAGATGGTGGCACTGCCGGTGCCTATTTTGGCGTAATTTTCAATGCTTTTTTGATCATTTTTCAGTAATTTATTTTGACATGTGAAGTTGGCCCTAAAGCAGCCTGAACGTTTTGCTGTTGTTATCCTGTTGATGCCAGCTGTGGCTGCCGTGCGGGTGATGCTAGCAGGTACAAGTGTGCCATGATGGGCCCTGCCGTTTTTCAATCCCATACTAGATGTGCTTGCCGGGCGACAGCGGGTACTCGGAAATTCACAAGGATGACATGATGACCTGCGTTTTCAATCATCGCCAAACAAACAACAACAAAAAGACAAGAAACAAACGGTGCTGAGATCGGCTCGAGATCAAATGCCCGCTTACCGATGGGGATTGGGGATAGGTTTCTGGTTACTCCCGGATGATGGAATGCTTGAAAACCCCCAAAAAGAGGGTCAGGTAGACAAGAGCATCAGACCGAGTGAACAGGGCATCAACGGTACAGTATGCTCTCGCTTCCCAGTACAACAACCGCGCCCAATGCCTAATCCAAACCAGTCTGGCTGCCATTTGTCAAAGCAAGCACCTCTTGTCCCTCTCTCTCTGTTATCGCACCGAAAGGTAAAGAATTAGAACAGAACAGAAGAAAATCAATGTCGTGTTTCACCATTATTTTTCCTCCCAAGACAACGGGGTTTTAATGATCTGCAACTTCCCTATGGTGTTCAAAATAGGCAAACTTGGATCTGATAGGTCTGCTTCTGTTCGGGCAAAGACGCATGGGACGCATGCTTGCATGACACTACAATGAACTGATGACAGCCGTCGCTTTGGCGCAAAATGGGCCGGAAAAATAAGCACAAGGGTCAGGAATACTTGGAGAAGGGGAGGGCCAGGTTGGCACATTAACGTCGAGGACTGCCCGTGGCCTTGCCAAGCCCAGCAACATTGTCTGGCGGCAAAAGCGAGCACCTCTGACACAGCGTGGCAGCGTCATCCAGCTGCAGCTCTTCCAACGCAGCCACCAGCTGCTGACGAGCCTCGTCGTCCTGCAAAAACTTCTCCATGACACGTGCCAAGGCAAAGCCATCGTGCTCCTTCTGCATTGGCAAATTCCGCCGGGCAAATGGGTGACGAAAAGGCTCCAGCGGCTCTCCTTCCCTGGCAAAATTGGAGGCATAGACGGGGTTGTGGGCAGGATTAGCAGCAAGAAACCTGCCGAGATCAAAGTCGATGAGAAAGGCCGCAGGATGCCCTTCCCAGTCGCTGCAAAAAAGAATGTTGCGAGGAAGAATGTCGCCGTGCACAAAGTCAACGCTATGGATGGCCTTCAGTTGGTAGATGACCTGGACCAGTTGCTCAATCTCGACGGTGTCTGCCGGCTTCACGTAAGGGTAGCTGAGCACATCCACGGCAGTTGCAAGCCTCGCCACCTCCCACTTCTGATAGAATGAGCCTGCCACATCCAGTTGACTGAGTATTGTCAAGATTCGGTCGTCAGGCGGGTAGCGGCGATCTTGGTAAGACACACACTGTGCCGAGAGGCTGCTGCAGAGATTTGCCGTGCGTCCCCAGTAGTCAAAGTGCTTGAACACCTTGTTTTGCTTCCCGATGCTGTAGACCTGCACGTTGGGACCATACGAATCCTTCAGATTCCACTTGCAGAGGTGGTCAAAAGGGCAAGGAAATGGTTGTGGAGGCAGCCGTGGCCGCAATACAGTCCGAGCATCTGCCCGATCCAGCAAGTACGCCAAATCCTCTTGCACAAATTCCTTGCAAGCTCGCAAGATGCTTTCTACCTGCCGCGGATTTTCTTTAAAGTTTGCGGCACCGAGGCGCAAGAAGAACAGCCCCGATGACTTTGGCTTCGCGTTCGAACTGTCAATCTCGAGCAATGGCAGAATCTCTGCCAGGCAACCCTCAAACTGCTCCCATCGAACATCAATCACTTGCAAAGCCAGGTAGGCGCTGACATTGTCTCCCACCACGTTGATGTTGATGATGGGCCACAAAATGTCCTTCCGCCGAGGCAGCGGTATGTTGCTGTTGCTCTCATACAACGTTGGAATGGCCCCCAGTCGCAAGAGCTCGTTGGCAACCTAGCCCCCGTATTCATGGAACGGCTGCTCCTTCTTTTTGCACTCACCCATGACGACAACGTGGTGGTTGTCGTCAAAGCCCGCCCAATCAACGTGGGTGCTGTGGGAACCGATGGCGTACTGATGGACAACATTCAGACCAAAGTAGCGCTGCAACACGATGGAAACTCGCGAAGAAATGCTGGGCTCCTGCTGGAGTTCAGTCAGCTTGGAGTCACGTTGAGCTTTGGCCGCCCACTGAAGGCCATTCGCCAGCGCCTCGCTACGCTCCCACTGGTCATCCGCGCAAAGATCATCAATGCGCTTGACAATTTTTGCTGCAAGGTAGTGGTGGCTGCAGGGAAGCTCTGCGACCACGGAGCCAAGAACTTCATTTGCAGTGGTCAGAGACAAGGTTTGTGAGGGCGCCGTTGAAGGCATCCGGCCACGTGAGTCGGACGGTGGTAGCAGTGTCCATGTAAAGCCTGCACACGCATGTCAACCAAAAGACGATCCTGCGCGTGAGTCTTGCCCGACAGGTGCTTACCGATTGTAGTAGGCGCGCGCGGGTACAGTAATGACCAAGTGCAGACGTAATGTGGGGCCAGGTCACGACAAACACACCTTCCAGCCTTGTCGGTTGTAACGAATCGAGACGAAACACGACGAACCTTGTCGCGACCTGTTTTCCGTTTGAGCTGTGCTTCCTTGGCGGCCAGCCTTTCGTGCTCGAGCTTGCGCTCCTCGGCTTCAGCGGCCAGCCTCTGCTGCTCGAGCTCAATGAGAGCTTGGATGTGGCGCTTTTCCTCCTCGCTTGTGCTTTGGAGCTGCATTTGCTTCATTTGTTCGATCAATGCTGGAAACTCAGCCATGATGCACGGTGCTAAAAAAAAAAAAAAAACAACAACCAAGTTCAAAAAAAAAAAAAAAAAAAAAAAAAACAGCAACCAAGTTCAAAAAAAAAAAAAGGAAAAAAATGGAAAATGGAAATGACTGACTTTTATTTATGTTCGACGGTCCATTTCAATCTCAACGACATACGCTATAATTAGACGATGAGGTGTTGTTTTTTTGCTTCTTGTCTTCACACACTCGTGTTCTGTGTCGCCGACTTGGCCTTGGCACGGCGCTTGGGCGGCATGGCCACCCGACCCAAGGAAAAAAGTGGAGCTCGGAGCGTCGCCGCAATCACGCGCGCCCTGCTCTTCGGGCCCAGATGTCAAGAGATAATGGAGAGTCGTCGAGCTTCAGCTAAGCCGATTGGCACCGGCAGTCAGGCTAGCATCAAATACAGGATAATCAATTCCGATACAAGGTGCACCATCGCCAAAAGGGTGGTGTAAATGCAGGCTTGCTTCCCACGACCAAATGCAGCGCGCGCGGTCTTGTCGTGATTTTCTTTGGGCTCTGTTCTTTGATGCAAGACTTGATCTGCGTTTTGTGGCATTTTGTTTCCGAGTCAGGAGAATTGGGTCAATGCCTCCCTCGCCTGCTATTTTAATCACATCAACACAAAGCCGGGTTTTGAAATAATTCTGGTCATCCTTCCTCATTCCAGTAACCGTTTCCCCCGATGTATTCAGTGCCGCGTTGATGAGTCTGAGTCACTTCTTGTCAGTAAAGCTTGACATCATTGAACTTGACAGCTGAATTCAAAAGTCTTTGAAACAGGAATATCAAAAAGAAAAACCTTAACCTTCGTATCAATGTCCATGACGAGTGGCGGAGATCCACTCAGCAAGTGCATGATCGACGACGGCAACGACCGGATCAATCGCGTCGGCGCCCTCCGCATCAGCTGGTGGCTGCAAGACAAGCTCCTCAGTCAAGTGAGCAGTTCGCACCAGGCCAATGCAGCGATCGCCCAGCTGACCGAGGTGCCACAATCAGCATCGTTGAATAGTGAGTCAGAGGCCAAGTTCTCATGAGCACTCGTAGTAGCCGTGCCAACGATCACAAAACAACGAACGTCTCGCACTTACCACAGAATGGACAGTGCCAGCCGGCTTGCCAGCAGCCGTGACCACCTTGAGCGGACCGTTGTAGTGTGATAGCCTATCATCACAGCGTCGTGCCCATGTGGAGTGAGTTTCCTGTATGTGGAGATTGGGCCTTGCCCAGTCGCAATGGCGGAGCTGAGCCACCAACACACAGCCAAAGACACAATGGTAGACAGAAGGCAACAGAAGCGATAGCCAGACATCGAGAGAACAGAAATAGAAAGAGACAGGGGTGATGTCAAGGGGTGACGGTCTAGGAGCAAGAGCGTGACTAGAAGTAGCTGACCTGACGGCAGCTTGTACGTCTGGGATTCGCATGGGCAAAAGGCGCTTGCGCAGCATGCCCGAGTAGTGAGTGCGCGCCGTCAGTTCTTGACCGAGATAGCAACCCTTTTTGAACGATACTGGCGGGAGCAGCCCAAGAGAGTATGAGACCAAAATTGATGGGTTCGCGCCGAGTCGGATTAGGAAGCACCGATCCCAGGTGACGCACCGCCATTCCAATGTTCGATATTGGCTTCAAGGGGCAATGACTTGTTGTCGATGTGATCCTGTGGACCCTCCGAGAGCCCGAGGGCCAGACGCAGGTAGGCGTATATGCTGCCATCATCATTGGACAACACTGGCTCTAAGGTGCAGGGCACAATGAGAGCCGCCAGAGTGCGCCCGGGGTCGCCGATTCTCTCGGGGTGCCAAGGGGAGGCGTGTGTCACGAGGGGTGATGTACCATCAAGCATGTTCAAAGTGTTGACTGTGTCTGGAGTGCCTTCCGCAGCCGCTTGACCTGCAGCCGGGCAGTCTAAACGACGCCAGAGAGCCGGCACGCCTGGAGGCCTATCGTGGGAGCAGGGGGTCGTGAGCA